TCTAGCAAAATGTTCTTTACTACTAAGCCCTGTTGGTATCCTCATGGACAGAGTCATACGCATCGTAGGAAACTGAATTCTCCATTTTACTGAGGTTTTCAGTAAAATGCTGTCCTGTTCTCTTTTGCCATTTGAGAAAATGCAATCAGATATACTCACTACTATGTTATATAGTAAAATAATAATAAAATGTCTTTTCATCTAACAACAAAAAAAGATAGCATTTTGATGGAACAATTAATGACAAAATCATGTAGGTTCTTAAATTTAAAAGGCTACATCCTGTACCTCCTGATAGTTTTTACAGTCTAAAAGCCTGATAAAAAAGTGGACCCACCCAGCTACTGTTTAAAAATATAAAATGGTATACCTTGCCGAAGCCAGTTTGCTCAGTGGTGGAGCGTCGGCCTGCGGACGGAAAGATCCCAGGTCAAGGGCATGTACATTGGTTGTGGACACATCCCCGGTAGGGGGTGTGCAGGAGGCAGCTGGTCGATGTTTCTCTCTCATCGACGTTTCTAGCCATCTCTCTCCCTTCCTCTCTGTAAAAAATCAATAAAATATAAGAAAATAATAATAAAATAAAATAAAATGGTATGCCTAGAAAAAAGACTGAAAGGAATTAAGGGTGATTATTATTATTTTTTTAAAATATATTTTATTGATTTTTTACAGAGAGGAGGAGAGAGGGAAAACGTAGAGAGCTAAAAACGTCGATGAGAGAGAAACATCAACCAGCTGCCTCTTGCACACCCCCTATGGGGATGTGTCCGCAACCAATGTACATGCTCTTGACCGGAATCAAACCTGGGACCTTTCAGTCTGCAGACCGACGCTCCACCACTGAGCCAAACCGGTTTTGGCTAAGGGTGATTATTTTTTATGTTTCTTCCTCCCCCTGTCCTACCTTCACCTCCAATTTTCTACAGTGAACATGTATTCAATAACTATGTGCCGGTAGTGATTTGCTGACAGAACTGAGTTTATGAAGATATCATTACTTGCCCAGCTGAGTGGTTCAGTAGTTGAGCATTGACCTGTGAACCAAATCATCATTGATTCCCAGTCAGGGCACATGCCCAGGTTGTGGACTCCATCCCCATTGGGGGGGCATGCAGAGCAGCCAGGCAATGATTTTTCTCTCATCATTGATGTTTCTATCTCTCCCTCTTCGTTCCTCTCTGAAATCAATAAAAATACCTTCAAAGAGACATTCGAGAAACCAAGATGGCGACATAGGTAACTGCCTAACTGCAGCCTCATGCAACAATTTCAAAAAATACAACTAAAATATAAAGTGGACACTATCCAGAACTGCAGGAAAGTTGACTGACTGGAAATTCTACAACGAGAAGGAAAGAGAAAACCAGAAGGAAAATCAGAGGAGCTGTGAAAGCCTAAGGTACAGAAACACACATGCGCGGAGAGGAGGGGCAGCTGAGTGCCTGGCTGGCGTTCCCTAGCGCGAAGAAGATAAAAACTCCGGACTGTGCTGAACCCCAGTTCCCACAGCACTGAACCCCAGTTCTGGGCGAGACCCTCAGGTCCCAGGCTCATACAGAGGGAATCTGGGCTGTAAGGCAGAGGAAGCTCAGGGGAGCGGCGAAAGGCAGAGCCCCTGGAGGCACGCACATTGTGCACAGAGGACTGACTGTTGACTGTGCTGCTAGATTGCCCTGGCGGGAAGGAGACAAAAGCTCCAGACTGTGCTGAGCCCCAGTTCTGACTGCACTGAACCCCAGTTCTGGGCGAGACCCTCAGGCCCCAAGCTCATACAGAGGGAATCTGGGCTATAAGGTGGAAGCTCAAGGGAGTGGCAAAAGGCAGAGCCCCCGGAGGCACGCACATTTCGTGCAGAGGATAGACTGTTGATTGAACCGCTGGATTGCCCTAGCGGGAAGGAGACATAAGCTCTGGACTGCTCTTAACCCCACTTCCAACTGCACTGAACCCCAGTTGCGGGCTGGTTGGGGGAGAAACTAGACTGTCTGTTAGCAGGCGAAACTCTAGGGCACCTTTCTCTCAGAGGTGCTTGCAGTGAGTACCAAAGGACATTGAGGAACACTGAGACTCAGGAACCTCATAGGGCAGGGCTAACTGGAAGCCAAGGCTGAAGGCTCCATCCTGAAACTCCACCCCATCCAAGCTGAACACAGAGGCTCTTGCAGTTTTCCAAGTCTAGTCGAATAAGGCTGTCTCCTGGCATAGAGACAGTTGATCTTCCCACCGTACCAACTCAGGGAAGCAGCGAAAATGCCGAGACAAGGAAACAGATCACAAATGAAAGAAATGGAGGACAAAAAGCAACTGGATATAGAGTTCAAAACCACGCTTATAAGGTTTTTCAAGAATCTCCTAGAAAAGGCTGATAAAATAAACAAGACCTATAAAGATATGAAAAGGGATCAACTAGAAAATAAAGGATCAACTAGAAATAAAGAATACATTCTCTGAAATAAAAAATATTATACAGAGTCCTAAAAACAGAAAGGAAGATTGCAAGAATCAAGTCAAAGATTTGAAACACAAAGAACCAGAGGACACTCCTCTGCAGAAGCAAGAAGACAAGAGAATCCAGAAAGTTGAAGATAGTGTAAGAAACCTCTGGGACAACTTCAAGCAAACCAACATCAGAATTATGGGAGTCCCAGAAGATGACAGAGAGCAAGATACCGAAAACATATTGAAGGAAATAGTGACAGAAAACTTCCCCCACCTGGTGAAAGAAATAGACTTACAAGTCCAAGAAGCGCACAGAACCCCAAACAAAAGGAATCCAAAGAAGACCACACCAAGACACATCATAATTAAAATTCCAAGACTGAAAGACAAAGAGAGAATATTAAAAGTAGCAAGAGCAAAGCAGGTAGTTACCTATAAAGGAGCACCCATACGATTGTCAACTGATTTCTCAACAGAAACCATGCAGGCCAGACGGGAATGGCAAGAAATATTCAAGGTGATGAATAGCAAGAACCTACAGCCAAAAATACCCTACCCAGCAAAGCTATCACTCAGAATTGAAGGCCAGATAAAGAGCTTCACTAATAAAAAAAAAAAAGCTAAAGGATTTCATCACTGCCAAACCAGAATTATATGAATTGCTGAAGTGGGTTCTTTAGGAAGAGGAAGAAAATAAAGATAAAAATTATGAACAACAAATATGTAACTATCAACAAGTGAATCTAAAAACCAAGGGAATTAAAAAACCTGATGAACAATATTAACTTGAATATAATAGCATCAGAGGTACAGAAGGGGAGTGGACTGACAATTCTCGGGGGGAAAAGAGGAGTGTGGGGTGTGGGAAGAGACTGAACATATACTGTGCACCTATGGATGAGGACAGTGGGAGGTGGGGAAAGGGCAGAAGGTGGGGTGGGAACCTGGTGGAGGGGAAAAAAATGAGGAACTTTTGTAATAATATGAACAATAAAGATTTTAAAAATATTTAAAAATAATAAAAAATAAAGGAACAGACAAAAAAAATACCTTCAAAAAAGAAAAAGATACCATTACTCTATGGTGATTTACTTCTAGGTTCCTTGATATTTTCAAAATTTCCTGGAAATAAAGACTGAAAAAGTCTTAAAGTCACTTCTAAAGCAGTCCCTATAAGTAAGTGTACTTTGGCATTGGGGGCAGGTGAAGGAAGAGGGAATAGAAAGTGTTAACCTAAAAAATAGCTGTGTTTCTTATAACTGAAAAAAAAAATGTTATTAGACAAATAAGTTTAAAAGTCATGTAAACTTTATTGCCTTGTATATGTATAGGCTGATTCTGCCTTTTTTTTTTAATCCTCACCCAAGGATATTTTTCAATTGGTTTTTAGAGAGAGTGGAAGAGAGAAGGAAAGACAGAGAGAAATATCGATATGAGAGAAACACATCAATTGGTTGCCTCCTGTACGTGCCCCAACCAGGGTCCAGTCCGGGGAGGAGCCTACAGCCGAGGTGTGTGCCCTTAACCAGAGTTGAACCCTGGACCCTTCAGTCAGCAGCCCTATGCTCTGTCCACTGAGCCAAAACAGCTAGGGTAGCTCTGCCTTTTTTTAAAATATGTTTTTATTGATTTCAGAGGATGAGAGAGAGGGCATCAACAATGATGAGAGAATCATCCATCAGCTGCCACCTGCATGCCCTCTCCTGGGGATCGAGGCTGAAACCCAGGCATGTATCCTGACCTGGAATTGAACCGTGACCTCCTGGTTCGACATTCAACCACTGAGCCACACTGGCTAGGTGGGTTTGCTTTTTTGGTCAGACTTCTGGACTGTAAAATCTTTCAGGATGTACAGGGGCTTATTTTAATACATCAAATTAAACAAGTATGTACAGAATGCCTACTACATTCCAGGTATTGTGCTGGGATGTTGTAGTAATCAGTGGATATGTTCCCTGTCCTCATAGAGTATATGGAAGAGAAAGAAAGATAAATGATTAAGTAATTACAAAAAACTCAATGTGTAAAATAACTGAGAAAGGATAAAGGAAACAGATCTGGTCTGGTTAACCTCTCAAAACATGATGATTAAGATTTTAAAAAATTCTTAGTACCTTTGACATAGAATGTGCTTGTATATACTTGTTTATTGTTAAATGGAAAAGATCCTATAAGTCAGTTTTTGGGCTGACTCATGGGCTCATCTATAAGCTTTGATTAAAAGTACAGTGCACTAAGAGAGCCCAACTGAACTGCACTTCCAAGCTCAGGTGTGAACATACCTATAGCGCTCAATGAATCAGGGATCCAAAAGTCTAAGGCTAACCCAGGGCCAGCCTAAACTTTCAGGGTAATGCTCAAAATATTGAGATTGATAGGCTGAGCATGTATCTCTAGAACTGATCTAGATCTGGACTAGAGCCAAATCTTCTGGGGAGGAGAGATAGGGAGGAGTGTGATTTATCCAACACTTCGTTTTCCCCCTCTTTTGCAGGAAGTCATTATGTGACTAACACATTTCCAGATTTCCTCTCACTTACTGCGAAGTGTATCTGAGAATGACGTGCACTGCCAAGAAATGTGGGATTAGGTTTCAGCCTCCAGCTATTATCCTAATCTATGAGAACGAAATGAAAGGGAAAAATCGCCAGCGCATCATGCCTGTCCGGAACTTTTCAAAGTTTTCAGGTAACTCATGTTTTATTTTATTTTTATTTATTTATTTTTAGATATATTTTATTGATTTTTCACAGAGAGGAAAAGAGAGGGATAGAGAGTTAGAAACATCGATGCCTCCTGCACACCCCTCACCAGGGATGTGCCCACAACCAAGGCACATGCCCCCGACCAGAATCAAACTCGGGACCCTTCAGTCCTCAGCCAACACTATCTACTGAGCCAAACCGGTTTCGGCTGACGCATGTTTTATATATCTATTTATTTAAAATATATTTTTATTGATTTCAGAGAGGAAGGGAGGAGAGATAGAAACATCAATGATGAGAAAGAATCATTAATCGGTAGCCTCCTTCACACCCCACACTGGGGACCAAGCCCACAATCCAGGCATGTGCCCTGACGAATCAAGCCAGGGACCTCTTGGTTCCTGGGTTGAAGGTCAACTACTGAGCCATACCAGCCAAGCTCAGGTACCTCAGGTTTTATCTCACCTCCCATCTTAAATGCTCTCTAAATCACCGAATAAGAACAATTTGTGTTTTATGTAATGGCGTGACAGGGCATTCACAGTTAAACAGACCTTCATTCAATTATATCTCAGGGCAGATATGTGAGCTTCAGTTTTCTAATCTGTAAAAGGAAATTGATCATCCCCACCCTTTCAGAATAGCTGTGTAGGTTAACTGAGATAGCATTATTCAATAATATTAACTTCCTGCTGAAACCGGTTTGGCTCAGTGGATAGAACATTGGCCTGTGGACTCAAGGGTCCCGGGTTCGATTCTGGTCAAGGGCATGTACCTTGGTTGTGGGCATATTCCCAGTAGGGGGCGTGCAAGAGGCAGCTGATCGATGACTCTCTTTCATCGATGTTTCTCTCTCCCTTCCTCTCTGTAAAAAATCAATAAAATATATTAAAAAAAATAATAATAATAACATTAACTTCCTTCTCTCCCTCCAAATGTGTTTTTTACTTATAGTCTCCATATTTTCTTAGTACCTGTACTAATATCTAAAGCTGCAATACTACTTTTTCTTCTCCGACATTTTTCTCCATTTGAAAGTGTTTAACATCTCCTCAAAATGATTTTAAGTTAAGAAAATTAAAAAAAAAAAACACAATTCCTTCTTCTACCACATTCAAAGCTCCATATAAACCAATAGTTCTGCAGAATAATTTGTTCCAAACAAACCACTTAGCTATTAGGCTATAATGGCAGATAATGCTGTCAGTAGTTTGTGGTGCACCAATAGCTTGTGGTGTGTAGGTTTCGTGTGGTGTATAGTTTTGTTTCTTCTTCCCTCCTAGATTGCAACAGAGCTGCTGAACAATTAAAGAATAATCCACGCCACAAGAGTTACCTGGAACAAGTGTCCCTGAGACAGCTGGAGAAATTATTCAGTTTTTTACGAGGTTACTTGTGGGGGCAGAGTTTGGCCGAAACAATAGAACAGTTTCAACGGGAAACAACCATTGATCCTGAGGAAGACCTGAACAAGCTAGATGACAAGGAACTTGCCAAAAGGAAGAGCATCATGGATGAACTTTTTGAGAAAAATCAGAAGAAGAAGGATGATCCAAATTTTGTTTATGACATACAAGTTGAATTCCCACAGGATGAACAGCTGCAGTCCTGTGGCTGGGACACAGAGTCAGCTGATGAGTTCTGATATCAAAAACAAAAATTGATTGGGCTAGCAGAAACTCCATGTTTAAACAGAGAATGTGGATTAGTCCTAGGAAAATCTGTAAAGAATTTATGTACACGTCGGGTCATGTTTGGATTGACATGTAGAGCATCTACTCTATAGGTGCATTGAACTATACACAAAAAAGGCTGCAAGTTTGATTCCTGGTCAGGGCACATACTTAGGTTGCTGGTTTGATCCCCGATTAGGGCACAAACAGGAGGCAACTGATCAATGTTAGAGTCTCTCTTCCATTGATGTTTCTCTCCTCTCTCTCAACATATTCTTGGGTGAGGATTAAAAAAAAAATTTTTTTTTCATTGAGGCACAGTAAGCAAATTATATTATAGTTTGATAAGATTGGAGGGCATATATAGTTACTAGCGGACTATCCTGTATGCATTATGTCTTTACATATATTTAACTCTGTTTCCTAAGTATTTCATTCTAGAGTAGAGGAGTGCCCCTGCACAGTGCCCTGCAGCTGCCAGGGCATGTCATTGGGTGGACAGCAGGAGAATTCTGCTCTTCACGAATCAGGAAATGTACACCAAAGGCATTCTGAAACCCTGAACCTTTTCTCATAAAAAAAGAGTTGTGTTTGTAAAATGGGAACCCTACCCATAATAAATGAACAATAGGTACTGCAGTTTAGGCCTATTTATGAATTTGGATCTACAAAGAGGAGATTTTTGTTGACAAGGTTATATGTATACAGATAATATTATTTAAATGGTAGAAATCCTGTGTTTTTCTGCAAGGAACTCAGTACTCATTAAATAAAACTGTAAAAATTATTCTTTCTTTCTATGTGTCCATTTCTACTCTTTACCATTAAAAGCCTCACTAAAGGGATTATTCTTATTGTGATATCACCAGGGACAAGATGGTCATGACTCATGTATATTTGCCATAGGTAGCAAAAGAATTTTCAGAATTGGAGATTCTTCCATATTTACATAGTATTCTTTTGCAGAAATGTAGATGAAATACTTTAAAAGTTGGCCTTAGCTTGTTTTCCCCTTTCACTATTACAACAATGCCATAGCAGATAACCTTGTACGCGACTGTAAATGTGTACAGGGGACTTGCTGGGTATGTGCATTCTAAATTTTAACATTGCTGTTTTCTTTTGAAGAGATTCGTTCATTCATTCATTCATTCATTCATTCATTCACTAAACACTGCTTGAGTATTTACTCTATGGAAGCTCCCACAGGACGTTTCAAAAGAAATAGCTTTAAAGGAGAGGGAAGAACATGACAGCAGTTATGCCAGGGGCAGGACCAGGTTTATGATTTCAGTCTTTTCATGAACAAGGTGGAGCCACCTGGTTGTGAGCCGGGAGAAGATCTAGGGGCTGAGCAATGAAAAGCACTAGAAGGGGTGGCCCCAGAAGCCAGGCCTGACAAGGTGAGACTGGTGAGCAATTAAAGCAATTGGGTCAGAGAAGGGAAATGCTGAGTTAGGAGATCTCAGAAGTTCAGCAGGTACTGGTGGTGATAACATCGAGCATCTGAACTTTCCAGACCCAGGCTGATGGAGAAGATAGTCCATAAAACTGAAAAAGTTAGGAGTCTTGAGATTAAGGAGTCTGGAGGAGACATAGCTTGGATAATGAAAGATCCTGGGAACACTGACGGGGGCAAAGATAAGAAAATCGGCCAAATTCTAAAGTCATTTGAGTAGGTATAAAATACTATGATTTTAGGTAATGGCATCAATAATTTGAAGAAGAAAATGTAGAGGGATGGAATTAGTTAGTTAGAACATTGCCCTGTACACTAAAAGGTTGTGAGTTTGATTCCCCATCAAGGCTTATGCCGAGGTTGTCAGTTCCATCCCCAATTGGGGTGCTTACAGGAGGCACTGCTTGCTGTTTCTCACATCAATATTTCTCTCTCACCCTCCCACTTCAGATGGAGAGAAACATTGATGTGGGAGAGAAACATTGATATGAGAGAGACACATTGATTGGTTTCTTCCTGCAATCAAGCCTGCAACCAAGGTACATAGCCTTGACTGGAATTGAACCCAAGTTCCATCAGTCCCCAGGCCAGTGCTCTAACCACTGTTGAACATCCCAGCTAGGGCAAAAGAAGTTCTTATATGTTCCACCAAAAAAAGAAAAACAAAAACAAAAAGCAAACAACAAACAAAATTGGTAGTACATGTTGAAGACAGACAGGATATTCTTTAAATTGAATGAATGCTCCTTGTTCCCAACATCAATATAATATCCTGATGTAGAAACTTTTCAGTTTCTGGTAGAAACTATTGGATTAACAAATTCTATGAGGGTTTCCTTCTTGGCCTTGACCTTGTTAATAGTAGCCTTATGTACTTAGGAGAGCAAAATTACCACATGCCTCAATACTTATAAGGAAATTTTAACCAGAGCCAGCATCTGTCATTACTATTAAATATTTGTGATTTCATTGTCCCTCTTTCCTGTTATTACACTGGCTACTACATCATTTTCACATATTTGGTGAGATGCATTCTCTACTGACAAGAAACTTAGAGGTATCCATTATGTCTGATAACCATAGAAATAAGGTGGATAAATTAAAATTTTAATGGAACCCTCAAAGTTTATTTTATCCAATTCTTTTAATCTCTTCCTTCACTTTATCTCTTTTCCCTCCACTCTACAATAACACTCTCACCCTGAAATTAAGAGTTATCAACTAGTAACAAAATAAGATTTATGTTTTTGCTCTCTCACATCCACTGTTAACTACTTACGAAGTGCTAACACATCCCAAAACAGGTAAGGTCTGACAGGATAAATATACGTATTTTAGGTAAAACATATATCTATATAATATATATGTTATATATATTATATAGATATATGTTTTATATATCTATATAATATGGATATATAATATCTATATTTTATATATCTATATTATATATAGATATAAAATTTGTGTTAAGAAAAATTATCTAAAACTTACAAATAAGGGAAAAGATGAGGGCCACATGTCTTTTCAACATTATATTGCAGCATTATTTTAAAATTTTCTCAAGGATTATTTAATTTTCTAGGACAGTGTATTTGTGTTTGACTTTCTTATTTACTGTTTGATTAGAGCCCAGACACTGTGTATTTAGTTCCATGTTAATTTTAAATTTTTAATCCAGTAGAGAAGATAACCTATAGGTTTATTTGCTTATAAGACATTAACCACTTTTTAAAACATTTTTATTGATTTCAGAGGAAGAGAGAAATAGAAACATCAACAATGAGAATAACTGATCAGCTGCCTCCTGTACATCCCCTACTGGGGACCAAACCTGCAACCCTGGCGTGTGCCCTTGACCAGAATAGACCTGGGACCTTTCAGTCTGCCAACGACCTATTCACCCAGCCAAACCAGCTGGGGCAGACATTAACCACTTTTTGAACCACTGTTATCATTTTATTGATACTTTGTCGATGAGTTAAATAAATCTTAAATATGCATTCATTTTACATTGGTATGAAAATTATGTTTTTAAATTTTTGAGAATTAAACTTTGATACCTGAATAGCCCTGATAAAATAATTAAAATATTTTTAGATTTTGGGACATGCTTTTGCTATAATGGGCTGGCATATTTTAAACTTTCAACCTTTGACATTTTCACCTAGGAGAGGAGCTGGGAACAGGAAGCCAGAAAGAACGGAAAGCTTGAGACAAAAGAGAAAGAGGCCAACCTGAGAAGTCAGACAAATAAAGGACAATTGCCATATGAGGGGTCACCCTCCCCCTTTGAGTCACAGCTGGTCCAACAAGCAAGCTGTGTCACTGTCTTTAGATAAGCCTTTGAGAAGGTCCACCCTGGCACTGCCCACTTAACCACTAGGTCTCCAGAATGAGAGGGCTGGGCAAGCAGACTAGTTGGGAGGGTTGGGGCAAAGGGTTGTAGCTAGGAAAGTTGTCTGGAATATGCTGATGCAAAGTCCATCTTAAAGTCCCTCCATTACCTGCAGCCATAGTTTGATCTTAGGGGAATGAGGATGTACAACTATTGTTACAAAAATTAAAAAGGAAAAAAAACAAAACAAAAACCCACTACCATCAGAGGGCAGTATTTGTTTTTTTTAAAAAATTTATCAAAAGGTAGCTCTGGCTCAGCACTGAAAGGATGTTAGTAATATTTTCTTAAAATTTAAACCATGTGCCTGAATCTACATCCAGGTGAGTGCTGGGGTAAACTTGGCTCAGCCTTTATATGTTTGTGTGTTTTTAAAAAATATTTTATTGATTTTTTACAGAGAGGAAGAGAGAGGGGTAGACAGTTAGAAACATCGATGAGAGAGAATCATTGATCTGCTGCCTCTTGCACACCTCCTACTGGGGATGTGCCTGCAACCAAGGTACATGCCCTTGACCAGAATCGAACCTGTGACCTTTCAGTTCGCAGGCAGACGTTCTATCCACTGAGCCAAACCGGTTTTGGCTACGTGGTTTTTAAATAATCTTTTTTACATGGTAGGTCTTTTGTGTCAGACTTAGATTCATTCATTTGAAGCACTTAATCTGCGCCAAGTCCTAGTCGAGGTAATAGGAATACAGAGGAGAATAAGACAGGAGCCTGCCTTCATGGAGCTCACATTTCCATGCGGAGAAATAAATGAACAAGGAAAATATTATATTATCATACATTCTCTACAGATAAATTTAAGTAGAGTGATATGGGGTAAATCTTTCACCTAAGCATCATTCCCTCCTAATCTAAAAAGGAAGACAAGAAAAAACATTCTATCAGCCTGACAAAGCCACAAATGCAAATTCCAAGATCATGTAACTAAGACACCTGTATGACCACATCACATTTTATAGCATTCTTCTTTAAATTTTTTAATTGATTGATTTAGAGAGAGACAGAGAGGAAGGGAGAGAGAGAGAGACATGGATTTGTTGTTGCACTTGTTTATGCTTTCATTGGTTGCTTCCTGTAAGTGCCCTGACTGGGGATCTAACCTGCAA